GAGTTATCGGGGTACCCATGAGAAATGAACTGAAGAGAAACCCAGACAGGTAGAAGGCAGATCAACTTCATTTGAGACTGGGGACCTGGAAATACCTATTGCACAGAGAAACAGGGTAGCAATTTGAGACTAGAGATGAGAAGAGATTATTCTCAGGGATGGGCTTCGGTCTCCAGACCAAGATGGGACATCTCTCAAGACATCATTGTTCTAATTTGGTATGTTTAAACTGGTTAGTACCATCATCAGCCTACAACTAGAATTTGCCTGCATCTCTGCTTGTCCATCCTTCACTTACTGTCTTCTGTTACCTGTTAGTGTACCTGTCTTCCATCTAGAGTGAAGGCTTTGAAGCATGATGTGGGGCTCTTATTCCTCCTTGTATCTAGTACATAGTAGGTACTTAATAACTATCAATCATAGAATTATATTCATAGATAGTACCTGAACAAGGAAGAGAGGTAGAGAGGGATTAGAAGAACACTAAATTTCTTGGATTCTGGACCTGTAAGTCTATTTGGAACACAGTGCAGCTCAGGGGCCTCAGAAAAGCCCACTACATGAGCTAGGCAAAACTAGATGTTGAATAATCTCCATTGTAAGTGCAAATTGTTTTGGAGTCTATGCATAACACCATCCTTTATGTGATGAAATTCACTATACTGAAGAGGACTGAACCCAGAGCTTTCTATGGACAATTTATTATGAGGAGTGGTCTGAAAGAGCAGTGGAGGAGGTGGGGAAGCATACTTTGCCCAGAGCAGAGCTCCCAGAAAGGACCTTCAGACCTAGGTAGAGATAGTAATGGTTGGATGCTTGCTAGTTAACCACAAAGAAATGTACTTGTGATGTGTGAGGTCTCCAGAACATGGGTTTATGTGATGCAGGTCTTGGGTAGGGAAACAAAGCAACTGGTACATTAATACAGAGTTACTCTGCCTCCCCATTAACGCTTAGTGCATGTGAGGCCCTTCTGAAGAGCAATCAGAGTTACAGCTGATGCCTGATGGGGCAGAGAATAAGAAGGAGAGGAAAGAGAAGAAGAAAGAGGAGAGAAAAGAAAGTGAAGGAAGAAGGGGTCTAATCCCTGAGTCCCCATAAATCAGGCACTCTTTCTCTCCAGGGTCCTGATCTAACAGGGTGAGCAGGACTTCATACCATTCTCCTGCCTTGTGTTTTAATGACAAGGACATTTCCCTCCCTTCATCTAAACCACATCTCAAAGTTCTTTCAGATGAAGCAGGTGAACCCTGACATCCCCATCCTGCTGGATTTGGAGGTCCTACAGCTACTCCTCTTCTGATCTTATCTTGTTTCGCATCTTAACTAGATCCTTACCCCCTATTCCACACCCCAACCCTGGTTACTTTTGTTCTATATATCAGGGGTTCATAATGCCCAGGCTGTGGACTGGTCTGTTAGGAACTGGGTTGCACAACAAGAAGTTAGTGATCAGTGAGCAGAGCTCCACAGATCTGGCGTTAGATTCTCCTAAGAGTTGAACCCTATTGTGAACTATGCACGCGAGCGATCTAGGTTTCATGCTCCTGATAATTGAATGCCTGATGATTTTCCTCATCCCCCGCTGGTGGAAAAACTGTTTTCCACAAAACCAGTCCCTGACCAAAAAGGTCGGGGAACGCTGCTACATATGATTTGAAGCCCTTTAGCGCCAGAGGCCAGCTCTGGGGGGTTCACGGGGACCCGAGAAGGAGGCGTGATGAGGCGAGGGAAGGAAGAGTCATGACCAGAGTTTCTTCAGGCACTCTGGCAATCAAACATACCAGGTTGTGTTTATTTATAGTAAATTATAAATTAATCATTTTTTGTGGTTATACAATCACAAGATAATTTCCTTATTTTATCACAGACACTGTATGTTCTCATGTCTTACAAGATTTATTATAAAGTTAATGATTAATACAACTTGCCCATAAACCCAAAACCGGTTTTTGTGGTTATCACTACCACCACCTGCTGGACTATTAACCTTATAAACTTAACATCCTATTTCATGAAAATATATAATTTTCTATAAGGAAAATAAAAAGTAAAAAAGGACAATCAGCTATTAAAGCAATAATATGTGGATTCACACAAAGCTTACTTCATCTATTCTAAATATTTCTAACTTATTTTTATAATTGAAGAATAGCAAAAAATCATTATTACTAATTATATCAAGCTTAGTTAATTATATCTATTCTTACAATCTTCTATTGTATAATAGTTACATTTAATTTTCTTATACCATTGATTTACTTTGTAGCAGATTTTTATTTTCTGTGCTTTTAGAATTAAACACCATGGTGGGCTACTACATTTAATTCTTACCCAGAGAGACAGAGAGTTCCATTTAACACATCTGCATCTACCCAAGCCCATCTAACCATGTCTTCATCATAAGCTCCAGTATAAGATAAAGGAGGATCTAGCCACGACAAATCTTGCATGCTGCTTCTTCCCCTAGGAGCCCACCAAACTCTATTAATAATATTATATCCCACATGTTGTCCTGCTCTAATAGTAGGTAAAGGCTTAAGAGCTTTATTTTGGGGGGTTCCGGTTTTATGACTAATCTGATGTTTAACTATAACTATGTTATCTGTAGCAGTTTTTACCTCAGTTTCTGTTAATTCCTTATGCCACAATTTTAATAGAGAATCTCTAAGTATTTCATTTTCCATACAGTTAAAGGTACATTTTGTTGCAGTGGATGTTACAGTGATTGGTTCTATTGATGATTGGGTCGTCATGACCTCTCCCGTTCTTATTTGTATTTCCTGAGGCATAGCAGATGTTGAAACATTGACTGTTTTATTACTGGCATTGTAGACACTGTACCCTCCAATTCTGGTTATATTATTCTTTTCCAAGGGAGATTGAAACATATTATTCCTGTAAGGCAGGAGTATAACAATATAATGGGAATAACCAGGCAACCATGAGTCACAGGGCAGCTATGCAGAACTTTCCTCAAGACTTTTCGTGGACTTTGCCACGCACACGGATCCCCCCTGGGTCTTTGCCTTCCAGGGGGGGTGTCTTCATTCGGTTCCCATGCTGAGGCCCAGATTGTCATGGCCTCCGCCACTTTAGGGCCTGCTCCAACAGTCAGAATATCCCTGGTAATTGCTCATTTTTTTATTTACCCAACTATTTCCTGAATTCCTATTGTGTATCAGCCATGAGGAATACAGAGGCAGGCAAGACATAGTCCTTAGCAGCCAAGAGTTTCATAACTACCTTTTTCACTTAGCTGTTCACATCAGCAGCAATTCTGAGATGGAAGCAATCAGAGGTGAAGGATACAGTTGTATTCAGACAAGAGTGTTCCCATGGAAGATGATGAAAAAACTTTTTACTCTGTAGAAGCTTTTCCACAAAGTTCTTTGCACGAACCACTTCACTTTTGCACTTAAGAGATAGCAGAGTTCATGGGAGTTTTACTCTCCACCCTATTCTCATCCTGTTGTGTAAGGTGAAGTCCCTCCACAGATTTCTCTGCACTATTTATGAAAGGTTGTTCACAAATGCCTTAGGGGAGAATGACAAAAACAAGAAGTCGAGGTCTGAGCCACAAAACAAAAATGAATTGGGCTTTATTTTTCTCCTGTTTTTGTTTTATTTTGTTTTGTTTTTTTGTTTTATTCCGAAACACAAAGTCTTTTCTAATGGCACATAGATTGTTCCATTCAACAAACCCTAATGAGCATTTTCTTTGTATCAGGGACAACATCAGGCTCTAGGAATGCAGAAGTCATCAAGACAAGGTCCCCGTCATTAAAGAACAATTTAATAGAGGAGAAAGGTTATGTATCTAGGTCACCATGATCCAGAACAATGACAAAGACTGTGAGAGATAGCTCTAAAAGACTGGGAATGGAAGACTCACATGAGGCTGGGATACAAGATAAGTCTCCATGGAGGCAACGGCATTGGGCTGGATGCTGACAGTCATAGATGACATGTAGGAGGTGGACAAGAAGGGTCTTTCTCAGACTCTGGGGGGTATTGAAGCTTATCTTCCTCTCCAGTCCTAGAACTCAACAGCAATTGTACCCATCCAACCCACCAGGCATGTCATCCATACTTGGCCAGTATACCCAACTCCACCCAGGCCAATCTGAAGGCCCAGCCTTCGGCTCACACACTCACATGCAGATGCCTTTGAACCTCATCCCAGTTGCGTGTAGTTGAGGAATCTACCCCTGGGAATTATGAAATATCTGGATGGATCATCCACTCCATGGATATCCTCTAATAACATGTAGCCTGGAGGCTTCAGTTGAAAGATGTATAAAAAAGCATTTCTGTCTTGTCACCACAGGCCTCCAGACTCTTCTTGGGATAACTTGTCCATACGTCTTCCTCTAAGGTAAGGCTCCTTCCAGGTGGAGACTACTTGGATATATTTCAGGAACTGCTAAGACAACTCTGAAACCTCCCCTCATTTCTTCCCAGGGAGTTGATAGACCAGGTAGGAGAACTTTGGGGTGGAAAGAAGGGAAGGGAAGTGGGTCCTTGCAAAAGACCCCAAATTATTCAACATGGGACAAAGAAGTTAGAGGATCAGAGAAACAAGGAAAAAATACCTAGGTTTATGAATCTTGGGCAGAATAAGACAGTGAAGGGAGAGCAGAGACCTGGTTCTCCTTTATACTTGGCTGTGGCAGAAGAGAGGACTTCAGCTTGGGAAAGGTACACTGTCAACTCTACTAAGATACAGCTTGTTTTATTGTTTAAAAAAGAAAGGGTAAATTATTAACATTGTTGCTAATAATTTCCCTGAGAGTTTCCACCAGGATTTACTCCTCAATTGTTTAGCTTTTTCAAATCCATTTTTCTCCTCCTGGGATGGATTTCAGCAGGTTGTAAATGCTAGCCTCTATTTTCAACAGCTCTAGCTCATGGAGAAGAGAAATAAATACCCAGGCTTCCCAGGTCCCTGATATAACTGAGTGTTCTTTTTCTTCCAGATTTGACCCAGTAGCCAAGCAATGTCACAACAGAAGCAGCAGTCTTGGGAGCCTCCAAATGCTCCCCAATGCTCCCCTCCCCAATGTCCAAGTCCTTGCCTGGATCCTTGCTCTGCTCCTTGTGGTACTTCCTGTTCAAGAGACTGTCATTCCAGTTCCCAAAAGCCCAGGGCTCAGAACCCTACCTGTCATAGGAGGACTCGCCGCCGAAAGCCTCGCTGCCTCAGGGGGAGCACAACCTACCCCTGCAAAGAGGTGGAGTGTTAAGGTGACTGGGCTTAAGGGAGATGGGCACAGGTACTCTCTCCCCACCCCAGACTCCTGTACTAATTAGCCTTGAAAACTCAGGCCCTCAACCTCTCATTTGGGATCCTGACCTCAGCACTGGGGAAGCAAGTACTAAACTCAACTCTGAGTGAGCTCAACAACACCTCTTCAGCTCAACAACACACTGTTTCACTTTGAGCATGCCTTCTGTGAGTCTTTGAGCCCCTGAGCAAATGTGCTGAGACCCCCAAGGTGGATGCTTCTCCTCCTCTTTTCATTCTAAGAGAGTCAGTGTTTGGGCATTTGTGTCTTAGTTATCAGCAGCCTCACAGCTATCAACCCATCTTTGCATGATTTAACACTGAAGGTTACAATGCAATAAACATATGTTGAACACCTACTGTGTACTAGCCTCTGTACTTGCAGACTTATGCGGGAGATTTGTCCCTACTCTAGAAAAGCTTATAATCCAGTGGGAGATGCAATGAACACTCCATATTGAAACATGTGGATTAATAAATATAATTTTTTCTTGCTGGTTGGGCTTTGAATACATATAATTTTAAGTTAATTGTTTCTTATTTCTCAATGTGTGTCTAAAAAAACTTAAAGCAGGAAAAAAGTACAAAAGGTCAAAGACAATGGGGAGAAACTCATTCTGGTGGTGTGGATTAAAGTTGTTTCCCACACCTTGAAAGTCAAGACAAAAGGGAAAAGCATCCCACTTGGGGGTAAGGAAAGCAGGTTCCCTAGGGCAGGAAGCATTTAAACAAGACCTTTAAACATAAACAGACTTTGGAGCTAGGGAAGGTGCATTGAAGAGGAAGAACCATCCTATTAGAAGATCCAGCATAAACAAATGCAGGGCAAGTGTAGTATTTGCCAATGGTGTGAATTTTAATTTGGGTGGAGTGCCAGGTGTGAGATAATAGATGTGGGACAGTTCATAACCCCAAGTCCCTATGATAATTGAAACCACCTGAGTTTACTGAACATAAGGGATTAAACTCCAACCACCAAAGGACTGTATCTGTGGGGAAAGTCTGGGCCCAAGTCTAGGGCCTGGTGGCCTGGGATGAGGGGAACCTGACATATATTACCTGGGTCCGAAAGGGACCTGAGGCTCAACTATATTGTGATATGAGACCCTTTAAAATAGATTTTTGCTAATCTACATTTTTTAGAGGGTGCTGAAAAGATTATTTTTTACCCAAGTACCCAGCCCAAACTCAAAACGGATTTTTTTCTTTTAATTTTTATTTTGAAATTATGGGGTACAATTCAGGGTTAGGTATACAAATGTTCATTGTGCAGGTACCTTTATTGACGAGGTGTGCCCCCCCTTCCCCGGTGGTTATCGACTACTGTCAATCCCAGCTACCTACCTCCACCCTCAACCCCCCTCCCCACAGTTTCCCACTACTTTCAATCCCTTTCCTACAGTAATACGGTAGGTGTTCAAGGTCCACTTATGAGTGAGAACATGTGATACTCATCTCTTTGTCAAAACAGATTTTCAAACTAAAATTTCCAGTGCATAGATGTCCATTTCCAGAGCTTAACAATTCTCCTTACTACTAGGACCTGATAAGTACCTTTGTTGTGACATATATCTATGTATAGATATGTTTCGTAATTGTATATTATTATAATTTTACATGCGTAATTTTTTCCTTGAACAAATGATTCATGCTTGTATGAAGATTTACTTATGTAGATAAGCATAAGGAAGATGATTTTTTTTTTGAGGTGAAGTATTTTATAACCTTTTCGAATCATTAAGTAAAGCAGTAAAACTTAAACAATAAGAGTAATTGCCAACACTGTTCCATGCTAATAGGTATTGATCCACACTATTATATGTGGCATTAACATACCATGATCTGCATAACTACTTCTCTAATATTGAGCATTATGTTGTTCCCACATTTTCTGTCGGAACAGTAGTAAATCAGACATTCTTATTGATAAGCATCCTTGATTTTCTTAGGATACATTTTTAAAGTAGACATTCTAGAATTGTCAGAAACTATGAAATTTTTTTTTCAGACTTCCCAGGAAGACTATATTTGGGGCACAATTAAAATGAGTTTATTTAAGACAATCATTTTGAGAGAGGGAATTTATTTTGTTCAAGAACAGATGTAAGTACTAAGTTAAAGGGCTGCCCCGGCTTATAGAGGAACGGGTCCACTTTGTGAGAAGAAAACTTGACAAGTATCCACCTATTTTACCATCATAAAATCTATACCTTAAGAAAAAAGTTGAGATGACTTCTCCTTTTGAGGAAAAAGGGGTACTTTGTACTACAATGTTTTATGAATATTGCTATTTTAATGCTTGATCTTTTATATTTATCTGATAGTTCTTAAATATTGATTTTGGGTATTCATTATATTTATATCAAAAAATCCCACTTTTCTCTAGGAAAGACACAAAGTATCAATGTGTGGTTGATTGAGTAAAGCTCAATTGATAAGAATATCTCTTTTAGGAAAAGAGATATAAAACATCTCTTTTATACATAAAACATCTCTTCTATTTCTGCTTTTAATTGAAGAGAGACATACACCAGACAACAATTTGTTTAAAAGGTTGTTTTGACAGAAAGGAATTTTCTTTGACAAGAATACTACTTCATTCAAAAAAATACTACTTCATATTTTGGCTTATTCAGGTTTTCCTAGTCACTACTTGGATTCCTTACGCTAATTGTTCAACTTATATATTATGAGGATACACTACTTACTCTGTATCAAATTGATTTCAATTTTCCTGAACTGAAAATAAATTTGTGATTTGATTGTTGTTTTTCTTTATAAAGGGCTGTATTATAGCAAAAACATGGAACCAACCGTGCTGCCCATCGAAAGAGGACTGAATAAAAGATGCAGTACATATACACAATGGAATATTACACAGCTAAAAAAGGACAAAATTGTGAACTCCGCAGCAACTTGGATGAACTTAGAGACTATAATACTGAATGACATATCACAGAAACAAAGAACTGAGTATCACGTGTTCTTACTCATAAAGCAGAACTTGAACAATTATCACAATACTGTAAGAAAAGGATTGGCAGTAGTGGGAAACTGCCAAGAGAGGTGGGGGCAGGATTGGCAGTAAAGGGAAACTGCCAGGCAGTGGGGTACAGGGCACACCTCATCAACAAAGGTACCTGCATAATGAACGTTTGTATACCTATCCCTGAATTGTACCCCCATCTTTAAAATAAAAAGTGTAAAAGAAAAATAAATAAATAAAGATCTGTATTTGGCATTGCCACAATTTCTAAAATATGTCTTTACATAAAAAAAGTCAATATTATGAGTCTCTTTAGTTTGGTTTTATCATGGCTTCATTTGAATACTGTATGTCCATTGTACCTTTATTCCATAGTAAAAAAGAATGAAAAATGCAGACTTTATATTTTGTACAAAATGCTCTATAGACAATCTATACATAGAGAAATTTCATATGTATGTTTAACATAGTCATAAAATCTATGTCTATGTGTGTGTATATATATACATATATGTAATTCCTTTAAGTGTTCTCATCACAAAAAAGTGATAAATGTGTGAAGTAATGCATGTTACTTAGCTTGATTTAGCCATTCCACAATGTACACATGTTTCAAAACTACATGTTATACATGATAAATACATACAGTTCAATTTTTGTCTGTTAAAATAAATGAATACATATTTTTCTGTGCTTCCTACATCTTTCAATCTTATATGAAGATCCTTAGAGAAGTTCAGAAGAAGGTGGTGAGAAGCTATGGAAATGTTGTTGCCAGAATATTCTACGTGCTGGTTTTATTTCTATGGTTCTATCAGAACATTCTAGGACTGTGGTTACTAAACTAGGTAGAATCACTTGGGAAATATTTAAACAATGCAAATACTCAAGACCTGCTCCTTAAACATATAGTTCAATAGATCTTAGCTAGGGTCCAGAGATCTACATTTTAAAAGTACTTCCCAGATGGCTCATGTACACAGCCAGGTTTGGAATCCGTGGTTTACAACAGCACCTAGAGTAAGACCGAAAGGACAGCTCTCAGCTTCATGCAACTTCTTATTGGGCTGACCCGATTGCTCTGGAACAAAGAGACTGTGTCATGCATACTTCCACTAAAACTCTCCAGTATTTAAGTTTTCCATGTGCAATAATACCCAACATATAGGGTTGTTGAGAGGAGAAAATACAACATGTGGAATGCAGTACAAATTTGGGGGAATGGGAGGAGCTTCCCTGTGTGACCACCATCATGAAAAGAATGAATGACTTAGAGCTACAGGCTCACATAGTGATGGAGCAGGGGGTCCTGATGTCACAGATGAAGGCACAGGCCTAGAAAAGTCTGAGCTTTTCCAATGCTAATGTTTCTTAGTGTCCCCTCATGCTGTTAGAATTACAGTAATGACTTTCCTAAGTAAATCACTCCTGATCCAGCTGAAAACAGGCTATGAGGTGAGGGGTGGTGATAAAAGAAGTTCACCTGCCCTGCCTTTCTCTTAAGATGTGTCAATTGCAGGATTAAAGGTAAGTCTAACTGGATCATCTCTTTTCAGCACAGTGGAGAGAATGATAAAGAAGTCATTAGTATGGGGTTGTGGTGAGCCAGAGATATTATCAGGACAGAAGTCTTCAAGAATGGGAAGGTGATGGAACCAACAATCTGTTCCACTCACCTCAGTGGGAGAAACACAACTTCATGTCAGCAAAAAAGGATGAAGTTGCACCATAGGAAGAAAGCCTGTCATTATTGGCTGTGATGTCTCCTTTCTTGGAAGATTTAGAAGTAGCTTCTTGAGCTCTTTGTCTAAAGGAAAATAAGAGGCAAGATTATATCTCTTCATCCCTTCCTATTTTAGGATTAACAGGCATCATTTGAAAATATGGGCTTCCAGTAGGATGTTTTAGCTATTGCCCCATTCACTGACATCAGCTGCAGAGCTGGGCTGAAGATTAGGATACAAAGAGGGATC